ACTTGTTTGATTTAATTATGAATGGATGGGAATCAAGGTTTTAAAGGTTTCTTTTTGATCTAATAATGGTTGAAGGATGTGGACTTATTGTTAATGCATTTTTTTTTTTTGGACTCATATTATTTTTATAAATATGATAATTATGTTGTAATAGATTGAATCTGCTTGATTTAATTAGGAATGGAAGGGAATTTTTTTTTATATTATAATTGATATGTAATTGAAGTTGGAATGCAGTTAAATTTTGTTTGTAACAAACTGTAGGCAAACGAGCAAAGTTTGCAATCATTTGAAGTATCACAAGAAGGGAGGCAAGCTTTGATACTCCAGTTTCTTATAATTTTGATTTTAAAAGTCCAGCAGAAAAATACAGCTAATAGTATGATAAAATGCTGAAAATCTAGGAGTTTCTATTGTGTTTAATGAGAAAGGGATAATTTTAGCTATTTGAATTATTTGTGATGCACTAAAATCTGATTTTCCATTTTTAAGTACCCTGTTTTTCTTTCCATCTTGTTAGAAGAACAGGAAAAGGAACAAGAAGAAGACTTCTCCAGATAGTGAATTGCATAGTTCCTTGTCAAGCTTAAGTTCAGCTCCGTCCAGTCTTGATTGTTCACTTACTCCAGATGTGGCTAATGTGAGAATCCCAGTAGAAGAAAGTCAACACTCAGAGGCTAAGTCGATTGACTTAATGCCATCCATTGAGGATAGTAGTGGCCAGATTAGAAATATCTCCTTCCACGCAGATCAGAGCCAAGAATTTGTGAGCAGAACAGGAATCCAGAATCAGCCAGAACAAAATAAGAAAAATGATGCAGTAAGTCAACCTGCTGTTACTGCTGTCACGGGGGAGAAGATGGAAGAGGATAGTTCCAGAAAGGTTGATATAGTTGGTGAGCAGATAGATACTAGCAAGAAACAATGTGCCACCAGTTCTGTTGGACCTGGACAACTTTCAGAGAATACAAGCAATATATCAAATGAAAGTGTTATACAACCTGTTTCTAAGGGAAACACTGACAGCAGATCTTCAGATCTCAATGTTAATGTTACATCTACGGAGGAAAAAAAATCAGGATCGAGCACTGAATATCAAAACTGTGGAACGAAGAGATCTTTGCCTGAATCTAAAATGAAAAATAACAATTCAACAGAAGTTAAGGAAGAGGCCAAGCAACAGAAGAGTGCTTCTAGTTCAAAAGTAAATTGCTCAATTTATTTGTGGTAGCATATATCTTGGTTTCTTTTTTGTTAGTGTAATAGTATGTGGGAATGATGTGGGAAGAGCCATGGCTAGGGGAACGGTTGGATAAGAGGGAGATGAGCCCACAGAAGGAATGTGGGTGTGGCAAAGGGACACTCCCTAGTTCGTAGGTTGTAAAGGGAGAGGGAGAGAAATATACTTTCAGACTTGAGATATTGATAGAGTAATCTTACAATAAAGTGGAATTTGTTCAACTGTCCTGTCTGGACTACCTTACTAGACTGATAGCCACCTTGGATGGACTTTTTAGGAAGAAAGCTAGTGCATAAGCTAAATAATACATAAATTTCATAGATGGTTATTTTTTTGTGAAGCAATAAATGTATCTTGCCCTGTAATTAAATATTTGCTGTATCTTGGGGATTCGAAGCATTTGTACATCCTGAGAGATAATTAGTTTTACAGGCCATATGTAAGAGGTGGGGTTATCCATGTCACTCCTGCAGAGCATCTAGACTGCCAATTTTTATGAAGTATTTTTAAAGGTAATTTTGAAGCCTCTCCTATGGATTACCTGTAGCACTTTGCAGACCACCAGCATTTCCTAGACTATTGCTTGGGAACCCTTGCTGTAGGAAGTTCCATAGTTCTAGAACAAGGGAGAAGAATGTAATATCTGAATACTTAGCAGATCTAGATTTCTGAGTCTACTGAAATCAAATGCTTGTAATTTTAAATGGACCCAGCATTTTATCTACACCCACAGTCTTAGCCAGCTAAATAGCATGTTGAAGAGTGGTGTAGGGCAGGGGTCCCAACCCCCAGCCAGCAACTGGGCCACACAAACAAGCAAAGCCCCATCCCCGAGATGCAGGTAGCATACAAAACCATGGACTCTCCGGCTCGCGGAACCGGTCCCTGGTGCCCAAAAGGTCCCGGGTATTCCAGCAATTTTATCGGCAGCAGCTTGTACTAGAGAGCTAGCCTACAATCTTGTATAAAATATCATGAACCTTATTAACCTCCTAAGAATCATCCTCCTGAATATTTCTTATTTTCTAAGAACAGAATTGTGAACTTGGGAAGACTTGACTAGTGTTTAGATTTCTACCTGGCTTAAGTCCAAAACAAGAATACATGGTGTGATTAGAGGAGAATCTTTATTGCAAAAAAGGAAAAAGCCACTTTCTGTTAATATGATGGTGCAATTCCCTGTTATTCCTAGCAGATTCCAGCACTTTCTCTTATCTTCCCATGGTTTAATGGTCATTTTTACCTGAGACTTCTCAGCCTTGAACAATGGGCAGTTGTTTATTGTTAGCATAATTGATATCTCTGCCCTACCCTGGGAGACTCCAAACTTCAGTGCTGTGTGGTGAGAAATAGGAGCTATCAGTGGCTGAGAATTAAACCTTCCGGGCTCATACTAAAGACCATAGCAGTCTCCAGAAAGAGAATAATGAAAAATGTCTACTAGGACTTCACATGCAGCAAATTGTTAACTTCATTTTCTTCTACTTCTGCTTAAATAGAACAAACTAATGGACAAACGTGAAGCGGCATACTTTATGTGCCAATGTTAATGTTCTTTGTTGCATAAGTTATATTTGGTGATCTGAAATCTCTTGATAGGAAAACTTTTGTATAACGCAAGAGCACCTTTCTAGCAACCAGATAGTAAACATCATAAAAATGAGCAATTCCTTTTTTTGTTTGTTTTTTTTGTTATCCTAAGTAATTGTCGCACAGCAGTTTAGCAAAAACCCTTCTAGGCTACTCACTGATTTGTTTGCATGGACACTTTCTAATGCTTGCTTTTGTATATCTGATATGCCTTTATTACAGAGAGCAAAGGTAAATGTGGCCCAACAGGAGTATGTCTCTGAAAAGGGACAAAAAATATGCACTCCGGTGGAAGAGTCTGGGGAAGAAAGGAGGGATTCTGCTGCTGCTGGAAATCAAAGGCCTCAGAGAAGAAAAGAGGAAGAGAGGAATCATGAAGTCCCTGCTGTCAAACAAAAGTACGGTGTAATTATTTGCCATTGACATACATGCATAAATACATACATACATACATACATACATACATACATACATACGTTGACATTTAATATAATAATCTAATAATAGTTGTAACACAACTCCACAAAAGCCTATTTTCTTTTTTTATCCTTATTCAGATGAATTGGAAGTTTCAGATTTAGTAGAACTGTAACATTATGATTCTTCCTTCATAGACTTTTCTAATATGCAGCAGTGGAAACGATACGGCTTCTAACAGGCTTGATCAAAAATATCCCCCTATTTGAAAGCAATTCCAATATGCTTAACCTATATTTGATTGCTTAATTTTTATTTTTGTGTGCGTGTGTGTAAACTTATAGTGCTTTTGATTATTCTTTCTCCCCTCCCCTCCCATTGTAAGGATATCATGAATGCTGCTAAACATCCGTGTCTACCTTCCTTTGTGATTTAAGCTCTTACTAAATACAGGTGCGCTCTTGACAATGTAGGTGAGACTATTCTGTGGCAGTTCTCCCAAGGGAAAATATCGGTCTTTCTTAAGTGTCTTCCAGCGAAGTTGGACTTCCAACCTTGCTGGTCTAAAGTGGGGGCAATTCAACATCTGGAAGACATGGAAGAAACCCAGTTTCTACAAGTGGTGCTTTCATTTGGGAACCCTGTTTGGGATAGCTTGCAAATGAAGTCCTGTTTTCTTTTCATGGACATTCTGCTTTTCAATGCTTTGTTTTATTTGAAATCAGAAGCTGAATCAAACTTTTGGGAATAGTATCACCTGATTCTTGAAGGAAAAATGCTCTATGTGGATAACTGAAATTTTAAACTGCCATCGATTGCATTTGGCTTCAGAGAGAATATTTTGTGTCCTGGTGATGGCCTTGCACAAGTGTATTTCCTGGCAGCAGATATAGCAGTCTCCAACATTTCACTTTTTTGATTAAAAAGCTTTCTTTGGAAATAATGGATTCTGCTGCCCTACAACAACTGAGAGTTAAAGGTCCACATGCAGCCCTGATTTGCATGCCAGTCGTTCCCATTCAGTGATGTACACGAGACTAAAATGTCCTTTGAATCAAGCCAGCTTCTAGTGATCATCTGGACAATCCATAAGGTTTTCTTTTGGCAACAATATAAAAGTGACTCGTTGCTTCAACTTTCTATGTCAATTTTCAACCCTTTAGTATAACTTATAGTCCTGGGATTGCCTTGTAGTCTCCCATTCAAATTCTAAGCAGGACTAAAGCTACTTCCTTTTTCAAGGTCAACCGGAGAGTTTTACTTTTGTGTTTTCCTCTTTCAAATGAAATAAAGGCTGTATCGATTTTACTACAAGCTAAGTGCATGCTAAAGATAATTTTATTAACTTCCGTTTTGGAGAGCTCACAGTGGCTATCACTACTGTATCAAGCTATTGCTTCTTTAATTTGTTACTGTATTTTCATAGCGTGTTTATTTTACATATTTTCAGCAGTAGTTTTGAAAATTAGTGCACCCTTTGAGAGATACATACATACATACATACATACATACATACATACATACATACATACACACGTTTCCCCGAAAATAAGACCCAGTCTTTTTTTACCTTCCAAAAGAGGCACCAGGTCTTATTTTGGGGTGTGTCTCCTGTCTAGCCGGCCCACTTCTTCTGCAGCCAAAGGAAAGCCTCTGGAGCTGAAAATGGAGCTCAGACCTGCATTTTGCTGTCAGAGGCCTTCTGGAAAGGCCTCTGACTGGGAAATACAGGCCATGGGACGATGTAGAAGAAATGGGCCTGCGAGGAGAGGCAGGCTACAACGGTATGTGGGTGCAGGGCGCATGGGGCAGCTCCGGCCCTCCACCCATGCCCTAGCTTGATTTTTAGACATGCACCTCACCCCACAACTAGGGCTTATTTTTGGAGTAGGGCTAATAAGCCCACCCCCCAAAATCAAGCCAGGGCTTATTTTTGGGGTAGGTCTTTTGGGGAAACACATACGTATGTACATATATGTGTTTATGTGTGTATGTGTATATGTATATATATGTATATATACTGCTCACAAAAATAAAGGGAACGCAAACCCCTTCAGTTCCATGGTAAAATGTTCCCTTTATTTTTTTGAGCAGTATATATATATGTGTGTGTGTGTGTGTGTGTGTGTGTGTGTATGTGTATATGTATGTATGTGTATGTATGTATGTGTGTGTATATATCTATCTATCTATCTATCTATCTATTATCTATCTATCTACCCCTCTCTCTCTATCTACCCCTTTCTCTTGATCAACGGGAGAACAGGCGAGTAATAGCGAGCGCAAACGGGATGGTTATCTCCTGCGCTCTCATATCTGTACCGAGGGGGCAATGAGGGTAACAAGTAGTGGAGCCATTCCAAAGACACGCCTGGTTAACAACCCATTAACATACACAGGAGCTCACCCGTTAGCGAGAGAGAGAAGGGGGGGATAAGAAATAGGAACAACGAGACGACCAACCCCCAGGAGTTTACACATGGGCAAGGAAAGCAACAGGGCTGGCAAATAGAAGAACAGAGCTTGAAGCACACATGCTAGACAGCGCAGCAATACAGAGGCAAACTAAGACAAATGAGGGGGTGGGGAGAGATGACTGGGAGTGGATGAACAACGGATCTCCAAGGCACCTGCACACGCACAAAGAAAACGACAGCAATTGGAGAGGGGAGGACAACCTTAGAAACGGCCCCTTTAAGAACTACACAGCCAATGCTAATGAGCAGACCAATGACCTGATCCAGGGTCAAAGCACAGAGGCAGCCAGCCACATAAAAACGGACTCCCGGATCCAGCATTTTATACCCTGACGATGTCGGTAGTGTGGCTGACGAAAGCTTGGTTTTGTAGATTAAACATTTGTGTTTATGATTTTATCCTGGTGATCACCTTATTTTATTTCACATTATGTATACCCGGGATTCGTGTTTTTAATGCTATTAAGGACATACATATACATACATACATACATACATACATTTCTTTCTCCCATATTTGGGCCGACGGTGCATCAAAAAAAACCCAAACCACTCAAGGTAAATCTCCTCCCCTTGTCTCTTCCCTCCCTGATACAGCTGACAAAGTGAGAAAGCTTGTGGCCTAGAGGTTAACACAGCTGCCTAACATATAAGCAGCCCAGGTTCGAATCTCAGAAGGGTATGTTTGGCTGAAGAGAGCTAAGAAGCTTGAAATAGCTATTCCATCCTCCCTTATTCTTTGTTAGCAATCCAAATATATATATATATATTTATATGGTCAGCATGCCTGCCACCCGCTCGCCCGCATTTAGCCTCACTAGTTCCGGCTTTGATGTAAACGCTGGTCTGAGATTTGAAAAATCCCTCCTCACTGCTGTTCGGCGTGTCAATCTTGCGCTGTGCACAGCCGCATGTCAGTTAGTGTTCTCGTGAGACGTAATCCGCCTGGTCGCGTCCGCTGTCTCCCGTCCAGCTGCCATAAATCCGGCTCTGCTGGCATGAGCCAGTTGATCTCCTCGTGGGACGTGCAAGTAGCCAGAATTAGTGAGGCTAAATGCAGGCGAGCGGGTGGCAGGCAAGCTGACATACGTTCTATGACTTGACCGTTAAACCGATCACACAATTGTGTATGTAGGCTCTTCCAATCTTCAGCCCTTATTCTGATGATGTCAACAGCAAGTTGACGAAACCTCAGTAATAAAAAGGCTATTTTATATCCTGGAATTCACTAATTTTATTGATTTTAAAAAAATGTTTACACCTGGGATTGAAGTATTTAGAATCAAATATATATATTACTTTATTACTTCTAATAGTCTCGCATCCGTCCGTGTGTTCCTAGACTCGGGAATCATCGCCTCTCTCGTCACTCTTCTTGCCTGCCTCGTTCGTGTCTGAATACCTGTTGCTGTAGACTGATCCCCTAACGTCTCTTGTCCTATGGCCACCCCCCCTCCCCGTTGCTGTGTGTGTGCCCAGGCTTCCACTTTTGGTTCTTGCGCAGGACACATTGGGGATTTCTCCTCTTCAATGGTCATAGTTCTTTGTTGTCTCATGGGCCAACAGTTCCGAGTTGTTACGTTGTTCCTCCCACTTCCTTAGTGCCTGATAGGCAGGCAGTAGATGTATGTGGCAATTAATTGAGTGCCCGTCCGATAGCCAAGCCTCCTTGAGCAGTCGGCCACTCTTGGTGGTATCCTGGGCAATGGCCTCGGCCCTGCAAGATCGAACGTATGATTACAGTTGGCCATATGTTCCCATACCTGTGAACATTGTTCCCGCCATCTAATGGCCAGCTCGTGTTCATGAATCCTGATTCTGAGCCATTTGGTTGTCTCCCCAACATAATTACAGTGACAGTCCTTACATCTCATTCTATATATCACTGAGGATCTTTCTTCGTTGGTGGAGTGGCTCCTTGGGATGCATTACCTTGGCACGTAGGATTTGGTCTGGTTTATGGGCAATACTGTTGTTGTATGGAGCTAATATCTGCGCTGTTGCCTCGGACACGCCATTAATATATGGCAATGCTGTCCATGCCATAGGCGTGCCTGTATGTTGACTCTTACAAGGCTCATATGGTCCACTGTACCGTCTGATGAAGTCTACTGGATAGCCATTTTGCCTGCAGATACGATAAAGGTGACTCTTCTCCTCAGCTCTTGCCTTATCAGTATTGCAGTGAGTATTAACCTACTTAAACAGTGTCCTAATACAGCCAATTTTATGTGACATAGGATGATTGCTCCTGTAATGTAAAATTCTATTGGTGTGTGTTGGCTTACGATGACAGTTGTATGGAGGGTGCCATCTGACTGGCGGCTGACCAGCACATCCAGAAAAGCCAGTGTGCCATTAGTGTCTTCCTCAGCTTTAAAACGGATGTCTGGGTAGACTGAATTCAATTCCCTCATGAACCTGGCGCTGTCTTGCCTCTTGATGATCACAAATGTGTCATCCACGTATCTTACCGAAAACCTGGGTCGATACATGACCATCACTTTGGCTTCAAGTTGTTGCAGGACCACCTCTGCGATAACTCCCGAAATTGGGGATCCCATCGGCATGCCATTCACCTGTTCATAGATGGTACCCTGGAACATAAAATACGTTCTAAGACACGGCCATGAGTTGTATAAGGTCTTTGATGCGGAATGAGTCCTGGTGTGGCCCTTCCTCTTGCTGCAAGCGCTTCTTATCACTGCAATGGCCAGGTCTTACGGGATCGAAGAGTGAGGTGACATCAAAAGACACCGTGATCTCATCCTCCTCTATCCTTAAGTATTTTATCCTTCCCAGGAACTCCTCTGATGATTTCACCGTAGTCTCAATGTTCTCCACCAGATATCTAATCCGACTGCTCAGCCATTTAGCCAATCCTGAGGTCGGTGTACCTCTGAATGACACAATAGGTCGCAGATGAATCCCTTCCTTGTGAATTTTTGGAAGCCCATAGAACCTAGCCATGGCCGAGTCCCTGGGGCGTATTGTCCTCAATATGTCGTCGCTGATTCTTTCCTGTCATTTCAATTTATCTGCCAGTTTACTGAGCTGGTTTCTGAGAGTTGTCATCATGTCTTTCACGATTATCCAGTAGGTACTGGTATCGTTAAGCAATGTGAGGGCCTTGCAAATATATTCCGGCCTGTCCATGATGAGATCTTACGAGCATATATATTTGTTTTGCTGAAGTTTTATGTATTATAATTAAGTAGTATTAATATGGAGTCATCTTCTATTTTCTTATTCTTTCTTGCAGTCACACACCTACGGAGAATATTACGGTTTATTTCCATGCTATTCTATCTAACGACTTCAAGATGAATCCTGAGAAGCATAAAGTGTTCATTCTGGCAGGGGGAATTTCTGACTATATTGACTGGAAAGATCATGTATGTGAGCTGAACTGTACCCAGTAAGTATATGTTGGTATGATATAGCATATTCTCAGTTCTGAATTAAACGACTTTCATTAATATCTCAGTTATGTGCAAGGCATTTAGCCTTCTTTTTTGATAATTTAGCTCTTTCTGAATGTGTGCGTGCTTATGTTCGTATTTCAGCAAAGTTACCTTGGGACAGGTGCATATAGTATATTTATATTACAGAGGAAAAGTAATTAGAGAAAATCTAGATACTTGTGTTTTTATTGGCAATTATTCATGAATGATGGGATTCATTAAGGGAGGGCAAATGGGTAATGAAACATGGGCAAGGAAACAAGGAAGCTCAGAGAACACCAAGGACCCCTCATTTCAACCCTGAGCTACAAATATTCCCCTTTATTAGCACTTCTTTGTACAAACTGTGAGATTGCAAGTATTTTAGAATGAAAAACACTATATTGTGTTATTTGTGCCCTTAGCGCTTCATAAATGTAAGGGGAAGCTGTTACTACTAATATTTTAGTAGGGAAAAGGGGGTATTACACCTAATCTGGTAATGAGCACAAGAAGATGCTGGATCCCAGAGCGCTGCACTTATAAGGTCTGCAAAAAATGACAACTGGCCCTAGTAAAAGTCATTTTCTGTTTTTTAAAAATTCTGGCAGATCCACAGCCTTCATTATACAGGTAATCCCCGAGTTACGAGTGTTCACTTATGAGCATGTCCCGAAGTTATGAACATTGCAGCACCTCAGCAGCTTTGCAACATTCACCCTGGTTATTCCCTCCCTCCCCACCCCCGCCCCGGGTCTCACTAGGCACCAGGCCTTCAATACTCACCCTGAGAAGATCGAGATCCTTCGTTTTCTTGGCTGCTTCAGGCCTTTGGTGCGTTCACAGAGACTAGAGGCCTTCACTAGGCACCAGGCCTTCAATACTCACCCTGAGAAGATCGAGATCCTTCGTTTTCTTGGCTGCTTCAGGCCTTTGGTGCGTTCACAGAGACTAGAGGCCTAAAGTAACGCAAGATCATGCAAGATCAGTGGGGTGAGATCTCACGCTACTGATCTTGCGTGATCTCATGGTACTTTAGACCTCTGTTCTCTGCAACAGAGGAGGGAACCATAGCTGGGGAATGCTTCCACGTGCCTCTGGAGGCTGAATCAGGGCTCCGGAGGCCTTTTGCAGACCACATCCGCCCAGATCTGAGGCTGGGGAAATCTTCTGTGCACCCCCTGCAGCCCGATTGGGCCCGGAAAAGGCCTCCGGACTACAGATCGGGCCATGGGGGGCGCGCGGAAGCGTTCCCTGGCCTCAAATCCGGGAGGCAGTGGCCTGGAAAAGACCTCCGGAGCCCGGATCAGGCCACGCGGGGTGCGCGGAAGTGTTCCCTGGCCTCAAATCCAGGCGACAGCAGGAACTGCAGTAGAGAGGAGACAGATCTTTTACAGGTGAGTCCGGCGCAGCAGGAAGGGAGGGGGAAACATGCGCTATCTTAGTGGGTGGGGAATTCCTGAGGGCCTGTTCCAGCACTAGACCCTCCATGGATTTCTCCACCCTGAGATACCTCATGTTCGCTTAAAGAACCACGTATGTTTTAACGAGCAAGGGAGTGATCTTGTACCTCGAATGAGATTCACTCTACGAGTTTTCGAGTTATGAGTGGAATGGGCAGGCTCCATTACACTCGTAACTCGAGGACTACCTGTACTTATTGATAGAGATTTATGAAGGCCTGTTACTTTTGAAAGTGAAAAGGAAAATTTAGTACAGGTAGTCCTTGCCTTATGGCCACAATTGAGATTAGAATTTTGATTGTTGAGTGAGGCAGTGAGTCATATCCAATTTTATGTCCCTTTTGCCATGGTTAAATGGATCACTGCAGCTGTTAAAAGAATCATGCTGTCATTAATTGCACTTTGCTTGCCAGAAGTCGGCAGGAAAGGTTATAAAATGATGATGTGACCCTGGGATACTACATGCTGGTTGCCAAGCACCCAAATTTTGTTAGATGAATGTGGGAATGCTATATCGGTTGTAAGAGTGAAGACCATTTGTTAGTCACTTTTTTAAGGGCCATTGTAACTTGAATAGTAACTAAAGGAATGATTGTAAGTCAAGGACCACCTACATTGCATTTTACTTTTATTGCTAATGTATGTAATAAGAAATGTAAGACCATTCCAGTTTCAGGGATAATATTAATGATTTGATATGCCTGTAAACTTTTATTTCAACAATAAATTGCTTCCTTGTCTTTGCTCTGCTCTGTTGCTAAAATACAATTTTTTAAATACTAGAGATCTTGGAGATCATGGATACCTGATTGAAGGCCACACCATAATTTCTAAGGAAAACCTGGATAAAGAAATTTCTTATAAATACGTTGTTAAACGTGACAAACAACTGTTGTATGAATTCATTTACAAACCTGCTTCAGAAGGACTCCATGTAGATCGCTCCTTGTATTTATCATCAAAATCGATAAGTGGTACAGGTAAGAAACTGCTCCTTGTATTACAGTCTTCCCAGTGTTATATTAAAGAAACTTAGATTTTGTAGCATTCAAGAAAACTAGAATTCAAAATACGAAACAGAACAGTTTCTATTCTATCCACCTCTTAATATATTTGACAGCTCAGTATCTGCAATAGAGTCCTTCAGGTTTTTGGGTTCTATAATCTCCCAGGACTTGAAATTGATACTTAATATTAGAACCATCATGAAAAAGGAACAACTAAGAATGTTCTTCCTGCGTTAACTCAGGAAGTTCAGACTGCCCCAGGAGCTGTTGATACAGTTTTACAGAGCAATTATTTAGTCTGTCATCTGTACTTCTATAACTGTCTAGCTTGGTACAGCAGCCAAACAGGACAGGTACAGACTCCAATGGATAGTTAAGACTGCAGAAAGAACAATTGCAAAGAAGCTGCCTTCCATAGAAGACCTGTATATTGCACTGGCCAGAAGGAGGGCTGAGAACATATCTATAGACCCCTCACATCCTGGACATAAATTGTTTCAGTTCCTCCTCTTGGGACTCCGCTACAGGGCATTGCATGCCAAAACAATTAGACATAGGGAAAGATTTTTTTTCCCCTTGTGCCATCAAATCTGCTGAACACCTAATTGTCACAGTGCTGTCGAATGTCTGGGTATATTTACCCATATAGTATAGCTGTAGTATTATCACTTAGCCCAACATTTCTGTTGCTAAGAAGACATTTGTTAAGTGAGTTTTGCCCTATTGTATGATCTTTCTTGCCACAGTTGTTAAGATAATCACTACAGTTGTTAAATTAGTAAACACAGTTGTTCAGTGAATCTGGCTTCCCCATTGACTTTGCTTGTCAGAAGGTCACAAAAGGTGATCACATGACCTTGGGACACTGAAACCGTCATAAGTATGAGTCAGTTGCTGTGAAAAACAATCATAAGTTACTTTTTTCAGTGTATTGTAACTTTGAACGATCACTAAATGAACTGTTGTAAGTCGAGGATTCATCTTTCAGAGGTGCCCCGGAGGATTTTGCACTGAGCTATTTGATGTGCTTTATGATCCTTATAGTCCCTTTCAACTCTGTCATTGAATTTATCATTTTGGAGGATTACATCAGATCTTAGTCATTTGTTTCCCTAATTTTCTTTTTAATATAATTCTTTAGTTATTGTGATAAGGGAAAGTTGATGTCATTTTTTTGAACAAACAGTAAGTGGGCTTTAAAAAAAGAAGAAAGTATTCTAGTTTGGTGTGCTGGAGATATATATGACTGGTAATCCAATCTCTTCACTATCTAGCCAAGTCCAAATGTGATGTTTTATCTTCCAGGTGGAACTGGTCCAATTTCAGATTGTATTTACGAAAGAGCAGACTTTATTTTATTCTGTTGAGTTGGCCATTGTATCTGAGCTTGATCCTTTCAAAACATGTCCTAGCAGTAAACAGTTTAAATTAATATGGATGGAATATAGCTCAGAAATACCTTCTACAGGAGTTGGAAGAAAATGACCATTTCTGTGTGTCTGCGTGGTTTGAGTATGGAAGGAGACCTTAACAAAGCAGGGTGTCCATGAAAATTGCATCATGCGATTGCATTAGCACGCAAAGCTAGAAGGGCTGTATCTTGCATTTCCGAACTTTAATAATACAGTGTTTTATTTAACAGATTGGCATCAGTACGATGACATAATATGCACTAAACCTGGGGAGAGTATGTGGACAAAAATTAAGAATCAAATTCCATTTGGGAAAGATAAGGAAAAGGATGTTGTGAAAGGGAAATGTATAGCCGCAAGAATAATGCTGGACAGCCTCTTCAGTATACTTAAAACGTGGAGTCGGATTAACATCAAAAGCTTTTTCCAGCAGTTCCAACAATTTTACTGTGTAAATAAAAGGATAATGGTACATGAAGAATGTCGAAAAGAATGGAAAGAGCTACAATTTGGAGAAGAGCAGGTATTATTTTCTCTTTATTATACATCCAAGTAGAATCTTGTAGCCAAACTTTTATAGAGTTTGTATCATCTTGACTGTGCTGAGCAAAGTGCTCATTGTTACAGTGTCCTTGGAATAAAATGATGCAGCTAAATTATTAAGCTGGGCTGAGTACTGAGTTCAAGATGCTCAAAAAAGACAGAATATGGACTTAAGTCATTGCATGAATGAAATGAAAGGTTCTGATATCAAGCATATGCTCTGATGTTTAAAACAACTTTATATTTCAAAAGTGAAACTGATGCAAGATTTAATTCAATTGGGAAACCCTTTCTGGATTATAGTTCTCTATATAGACTTATGAATTTGGAGTTTCTCTTAATAGGATTTTTAATTGTTTCTATAGAAACTATTGCAATTCTCAATTTTATGCATTATAGTATATTGATTATTTGTGTTGATATTTATATATGGGATTTCAAAAAGGACTGATAGTTTTTAGAATAATCTAGTATATTCATCTCTTTGAAGCAATTGTTGGAATATTGTAAATTTATGATGCTTGTAAACTATTTATCTACCTTCTAATCTATTTTTCTTGCTTTCTCTCCCTCTCCGCTTTTGAAATATTTTTGGGTTTTTTTCCTTTATCCTTTTTTTTTTAAATGCTTAATTAAAAAGACTGATTCTGATGCTATAGTGGTCACATTTTGAAATTTATTTATTTATTTATTTATTTAAAATAACTTAAATATATGGCGGGATAGAGGGAATGCCCTGAGTCCCGCCACTTGTCCGCTATTATTTTTGGTGCTATTTATATGTGTTTAAAGACAAGATTTTAGTTTAATTTATTGTCCGGACGAGATTTTTATGGGGTATGTTTTGGGGGTGATTTTGTATTAGTTTGATGCGGTCGCCGGCCGCACGGAATAGATGTGCCTTCAGGGCTCGGCGAAAAAGGCGCAGGTCCGCAACTGTACGTAGGTTGGGGGGTAGGTCATTCCAGAGGGCAGGAGCTGCCACAGAGAAGGCTCTCCCCCTGGGGGTCACCAGCTGGCATTGTCTGGCCGACGGCACCCTAAGGAGGCCCTCTCTGTGGGAGCGGACTGGTCGAAGGGAGGTGTTTGGTAGGAGGCGGTCTTGCAAATACCTAGGTCCATTGCCACGGAGCGCTTTGAAGGTTGTTACTAACACCTTGAAGCGCACCCGGAAGGCCACAGGCAGCCAGTGCAGCTCGCGCAGGAGAGGTGTTACATGGGAGTAGTATCTAGAGGCCCCCAGGATCCCCCGCGCGGCCGCATTCTGAACTAGCTGGAGCCTCCAGGTGCACCTCAAGGGGAGCCCCATGTAGAGAGCATTGCAATAGTCCAGGCGGGAAACAACGAGGGCTTGAATGACCGTGCGTAGAGCGTCACAATCCAGAAAGGGGCGCAACTGGCGTATCAGGCGAACCTGATGAAAAGCCCCCCTGGCCACGGCTGTCACATGATCGTCTAAAGACAGCCGAGCATCCAGGAGGACGCCCAGGTTGCGGGCCCTCTCCGCGGGAGCTAATGACTCGCCCCCGATAGCCAGAGATGGAACCAACTGGCTATGACGTGACGCCGGAAACCACAGCCACTCGGTCTTGGATGGGTTGAGTCGAAGCCTGTTCCTCCCCATCCAGACTCGCACAGCCTCCAGGCACCGGGACATCACTTCCGCGGCATCGTTGGGGTGGTCCGGAGTGGAGATGTACAGCTGGGTATCATCTGCGTACTGATGAAACTCCACCCCGAAACCACGGATGATCTCACCCAGTGGCTTCATATAAATGTTGAACAGGAGAGGCGAGAGGACCGACCCCTGTGGTACCCCACAAGTGAGGCACCTCGAGGTCGACCTCTGCCCCCCTGCCAACACAAATTGCGACCGGTCCGAGAGGTAGGAGGAGAACCACCGTAAGA